AAATTCATTTTTTCGTTTTTTCTTTCCGTAGCTCTGAGGTCACAGTGAACATTTAGGGCTTTTCTTGTAAACCCTATAACTTTGCAAAGAAAGGTCGTGTAGAGCTGGGAGATGCCTCGTTTTAATCAGAAATTTATGGACTACAATTACGCCTCATTAAGAAAGCTTTTGGTTGTTCTTTAGTTTCTCGAAAACTGGTTTTCCAGAAGACCGGTCTTTGAAGGCCTAGCAGCAGCATTCATGGTGATATTCGGAATCAGCATCGTCGACTACATATAGTCCACCCGGTTTCGTTGAAAAAGCGATTTATCAGTTCGGGTACTTCCCTCGTAAGTTTGGTTCTGATTGAAAACTGGGAAACCTAATGTACTGAAGACTTAATTTTCGAAAAACATCGTTAGCTTGGAAAATATTCGTTTTCTCGTAGATGATAAGTCCAAAACAGAGAGGTTTTTCGTCAATCGGGAGCTGGATAGGTGGTTCACTAATTCTTGAAATTACCTTCTCGACTTCCCAGTAGCGACCAAAACCTTATTTTTATGGGAAAGGATAGTCAAGATATTGAACCGTATAACGCAATCGAAATAGAAAGACAATCACTTTCACTTTTTAACGAAATATTCGCATCATTGCCCGCTGCGGTTTTGAGGGGAACCAAAAGTGTAGAATCGTTTTGCTAAATCTAAGATGCAGAAAACTTTTCTGGTAGACCCTCAAATGTTTTCCAAAAAATTGTAAGCAGATAAACGGCCTTAACGCCATAAGTCCTTTCCTGAAAGTATTGCTAGATGTTTCGCATAAAGAGATATCGTCAGCAAATACTTTACAAGAGCATTTAACATTGAATATCATCTCATCAATATTACCAGAAAAAGAACAGACTCTAACACGGGCTCTTAGCACGTGACAACTTTAGGATTCAGCTGAAAGTCCTCCGTAACAGTAATGCTATTTCTGCCTGAAATATACGAAAACCAATTTATAAGAAAGTTAGAGGCATCCTTTTGTTTTGCAGCTTCAGAAATAGCCTCATGGTTCATCTTGGTGAAGGCTTTTCAGACGTTAATAAATGCCGCAATAACGGATTCCTCATTAATGAAGCCTTTAGCTATTTAATTGAACTACGTCTGTTAGCTGATCGATTGTAGAATGACGAAGCAGAAACCCAGATTGGTTCTCACTTATCAACCCATTTTACATGACTTAATGGTGGGACGCTACTGGTTAGCAATACTTACGTAATTGTCATAACTCCTATTAGCCAGTGATAAAACGCTCTCTATCCTTTTTCTTCTATATTTATGCTCTTCGCTATCCTAGATGCAGGATGTGTAACGTCAATGAAACAGTTGTCACCCAAAGCATAATGTTCAGCAAGTAATGATTTTAACATTCTGTTTAAAACAAGTCTCTCAAAAACCTTCGAGACTGTCAACAATAAAGTAATTGGAAAGAAGAGAGTATAAAACTCCTACAAAATACGTTATTTTCGATTTAATCTAAAATCATTTAATTATATCGAGCTCGATATTGACAGCACCATGCATGAAAAATTTCAAACCTATGTATACAAAACTTTTGTCACATGGAAATCCTTGAAATACCGAACACTGTTCGAAAGTAAAAAAGAAACAGAGATTACTTGTGGTATTTTAAAATATAAAATGAAAAAGAACAAACGAGCGAGAGAGGTACACATGATAAGCGATGAATAAACTAATTGTTCTGTCGGTATTGGACACATGGATATCCCCAGGTGCAAAAACCCTACCTTGCAATGATTTATTAAACAATGTAAAAATTTAGGATGCAGTCTGAGGTCTGTCGCTGCGTTCTAGCTGTAATACTAGAAAACACTTTAGTTCACTTAATTCCATTTAGAACTCCCGTTTAGACAAAACAAATGATAACATATCAACACTTGGCTCATTTATATTGAAAAACTATGATTAATCAACTCAGCAGCTGTATAATTTTATGCGAAGTACTGTTCTAGAGATGTGCACGGGTCCCGTTTTCGTACTCCTACCCGATTCGACCCGAGAACTTTGTATCCTTACCCGACTTATGCCTAAAAAACTTCTCCTTTTTCGTTTCCCAGCTAAAAACTTTTGTTTTTCGGCTGTAGATGGCAAATTATCATTATCTTCTCAAGTACCTGTCTTCTAAAACTTCATGTATTTAACCTAAAATCGTGTATTTTTCCACTAAACTTTTGTGGTTTTCCAGTAAAATATGATATATCTGTGTGTATGTTAGTCAGTTGAGCTTCTTGTCAATGACGTATGCTGCGCTGTACGTTCATTAGAAAGAATACGTTATCAGTGTGAGATAAACATGGAACGTTACATAATTCAGCGTGGAAGTTTCGCGATGACACAAATTTGAAATGTGTAGGTATATACTCAAATTTCACTCAAGTCAGATTACATAAGAAGTACTTTACTCACTTATACCTTGTTATCTGTTATTTGTGACTCATATATTACGAAGTTTTACTTGTTTTTGTTTATGCTGAACGCAAATTCGATGCTTTTGACTTAAAAACACATACACACTACTCTATTATGTCTCTCAACGTTTTATTGATTCCTTTTTTATTAAGTTTGTGTCACATTATTAATTAGTATTGTTTACCTGTAGAATTGAGTCGCTAGAATATTCTAATAGTTCTTTTTTCTTTCCTGTTCTAAGGCGGTAGGCGAGGACGAAGCCATGTGCAACTAGGAGAATAATTATGCCTATCAAAAAGGTAAGTGAACAGGTGGATGGAGAAATTTTAGTGCTTTACTATCATAGTTAACACGCAGGCCTCTTTTCTTAATAGCGCTGACACGCTTTATCATATTGTGATATAAAGCAAGAATAGGAAAAAAGAACAAATTTTATATTTTCATGCATGTTTATCTAAACAGATTGCACTTGCTGTAAAATTTTCGAAATATCTGCTGTATACACCTTATATGGGTAGCATGCGGGAATTTAAAAGTCTTGATATGGTGACTTTAAATCGGCTTGAAACTAAAAATAAGTATCATCACTAGCCGCAGTGTGGCCGATTATCCCTCTCTTGATATAGTTCAAGACCGTTTTTATTGTATTCGATCGAATAGTTGCAAGAAGAGAGTAAGCATGTTGTCAATTTGTTCTGTCGCACAATCGATTTGATGTACCAAAATTGCAACGTACTCCACTAGGCAAAATGATTGACATCATCCTGAGAGGTATTAACCCCTTGACATAGTATTATTTTCCTTATTCAAGATACCCCAAATTAGTATTTGTTTTTGCCATTTATTACAGCTTTTGCATTATGCTTCAAATACATGAATAAATACATAAATCATGACAACTTTGAGCAGAATTATGTAAGGGCATTATCTAGGGAGCTCTTCTAGGAGTTTACGAAAGAATCATGAATGGAGGTTCACGTCAAACTCTCTCGGTGTGATGGAGAGTTCGTGACGTGAACGTCACGTCATTCTATGGCAAGGGGTTAATTGTCAAAATGTAACTTAATGTTGACTTTATTTGGAGTCTCAAAAATAGTTACATCTCACGTGGAAACCAGTAAAACTTACAATGTTTTTTTTTGGTCGATTGATCAATATTTAAATTCTATCTACATGTCTCGTGCTGCTATTGATTATTATGGTTTGATGCTTAATATTGGAATAAACTGCTTATCTATTCCCAAGATCCATTTTCTGGAAACCGCGTATTAATCGGACGGCACGAGAAATACGCCCAAAACATGACTGAACAGTAATTGCGTCTGTCGATCGATCCCCGATAACAAATTTAGCATTCGCATACCCACAACAAATCAGATAAATGAAATCAGAAATTTGTGGTGCAAAGTTATCTAACCAAAACTGATCGAGTACCTGCTGTCTACTACACACATGTTGCTCACCATCCAAATCAACATGAAGAAGATACATATCTTTCACACAACCTGTTGTGTTCATCGGTCCAGAGTTGAATAGCTTGTCTGGCAGATGAGTACCATGCCCGTTCAATAATATTTTCGCTAGCGTGGCCGTTTTCATATTATTAGCGAAACGTGCATAAACCCAACGATTTCCTATATTTATCGTATAAGTGAGCAATGATCGTCTCAAACTGAATAGATAGCGCATACCATCATTATCCGACATGATCTGTTTAATTAAGGACCAATGATTGACGACAGTAAAATTTAGATGTTCTACTGCATCACAAATATCCTCTACGCAAATTCCTTCAATATCAATATCATCGTTATGATATGCATCATTAGCATCCATCAGCATTATTCGTTTCATCATTCTCAGCCAGTCATTCGTTTCAGCATCACAATAATACAAATGGCAGAACGTGTGATTCAAGGCCCAGCTATATTTTTGAGGAACGTACAACTGACTCCTGTTATAGAACCAGTGTATTTGTAATTCATTGAATTCTTCAACTATTTCAGGTGTCTGTTTTACAAATTCCAGCATCATGGATGACATAGACGGGACCTTTTGTGCTTGAACGACGCTATGTTTTTCGGGTATTTTCAATCTGGCTAGTACTTCGTACACGCGATCCAAGAATGAAAAATCATATTCTTCTAATAGATTCGTTTGTTCGTCGAAATAATGTGGACAACGCTTTTGTTCTAATGTTTTCAGAATATGATCAAGAAAAAGTTTGGTTAAAAAGTTACTTTTGTTCTCATCGTTATCTTCGACATCTTGCCTGTTAATATCATTTGTTTCTTTTTCACATAGCCAAAGTACAATAGTTTTTATTACATACGATTTTATATACTGTTCATTAACATACAGTTTTGTGCGATGCAAATATTTATAATAGATACTTCGTGCAATACCATTCAACATTTTCTCACTTTTCGTACGTAATTCAGCTATTTTACTTTCAATTACTGAGAATGATAGGCGAAATTCGTATGCACTCTCTTCTTGCGCCGTTTTACTTGAACATTTTGGTATGAGATAAACATTTTTTAAATAACTTTTAAGCTTTTTGTATAAATTTGGACGATTTTGTTTGATACGTTCGAAACTACTTTGCGATGCACTTGGGATAAAGTCTAATTTTAGCCCGATAACAATATCGCATTCTTCCAGTGAGGATTTAGCAATACATTTTTGAACAACTTGCTTCATATGGTCATCAACAATCAAGTGTTTATAGTTTTCGTAAAAGTTGAGTACTGCACGAACACGATCAGCAAGATTTTTAGGTAAAGAATTGCCAATCAACGATGAGAATAACGCTTGATGCACTCGGATGAGGAGTAGCATACGTTTGTATTGTTTTTCGAGGAGATCTGGTTGTATCCGCATGTTAAAAACGTCTTGTGATAAGTTGGATATATATTCAGTACACTTTTTCTCTAGTATATCAGAACAAAATCGAAAAAACAAATTCAGATTCTTCTGAGCTTCATGCTGCTTTCGTTCATCATCGACCAAGCTTTGACGAAAATATTCAATTTTGTTTAGAATATCTTTGTCCGATCCGTTGTCGTACTGAATATAAATAGATGCTTCGTGAACGGATGTCAATGATTTCAAGGGACGCGGACAGTATTTCTCTATATTCGATCGAATTTCTTCTTTTAGTTTAAATCCGTTAATGTATTGATTATTATGTGGTAAATGAGATAGTGATTGAACATAATAAATTTTATAATAGCCATTAGAAACAAATTGCAATTGTGATTCACGCTGAATTCGGACTGGTATTGTATACATAAGATCATACTCGAATGGGATATCTCCGGATTGAAATTTTGACTCAAATTCACCGTCTTCCATACTCCCGCTGACTAGTATTGGTATCAATTGCTTCGGCATAATTTTAAGAGATTAACTGCGATGCAATAATATCAAGTACAATCTTACTTGGTTATTTCACCACTGAATTCTATTTCTCTTCTTGTTTCATGCTTTAATAATGATGAAAAAAAACAGAAGAAATGAAATGCAAAAAAACGTGTATGTCTTATGGCATTCATTTGCGAAAGTTGTTTGTATGGAATTAAATGAAACACTTTACTGTTTCCTTACACCTCCCGGCAGTCAATCCATTAACAGAAGTAGACATATACCCCTTGCAAAAATAAGTTTCTCTGTGTATTTTGAGGATATTGTTACCAAAAGAACATATTTTTTAAAAAGTAACGACATATTCGGGAAGCCCGTGAAATTTTACATCTTCCTGTATATTTATATTTTTGTTTGGATCGCTATGTAAAAAAA